GTTTCCAAATGTGAAGTGAAATTTAAGTCCAGATCTAGTTGGGGTTTTCGTACCAAAAATTTACACTTGGTTTAAAGGATTTTCAGTATGCTGAAAATAACTACAATTACAGTAGTTCAGAGAAGAAAACTACACTATAAAAATACCTAATTAATCATAATATATTATGTTACATTATATTCATTATATTAAATAGACTTTAAATCTAATTAATTCATTTAACAACATAAATTTTATGCAAAAAGAAAACAGTTTTAAACTTAATCAAGGAAAAAAAGTATGTTTAGGAGCTTCTGAACTTTTGCTTAAACCATATGTGAATGTTGGGCATACACATGCAGGTAGAACTCCACTTGAAAGTAATGGGAATTACATTCCCTAACTACAGGGAGAATAGACCTCTGAGAATAAATCTTTTAAGCATTCAAGAGACATATGCCATTTGCTTTCAAAGCTAATATGAGCAATCATCAAGACGACCATCATTACTTAACTATCCAATAAACTAGACCAAAACTTTTCTGTGTAACAGCACTTGTTTGCCTTTTATTTTTTTTTCAGATATACATGCAGAGATTTTTTTCCCCGGCAAATATAATCCTCAGTTTCATTTTACCCACAGCTCAGCCTCCCTTGCCCAATATAATAGAATGTTATCAGATTTAGGTTTCTGAATAATGAAAGCAAGAATGACACCTTCAGTCTCCTTTAGTCTGAAACTTCCAAATACCTGAATTTTTGCAAGTAAGAGATCTAAGTGTGGGAACTGCAGTCTATACACCTTCTATCTCCATTGCAATGCCACAGAGAAAATGCAGCTCAGATGTGGACTTATCTTTATTACTCTCTGAAACATAAAATAAATATTGTAAGTAGCTTAATAAAACTATTTGCACTGGATCTGTTATTTGGCACAATTTATCTGGAATTTCACATTACATTCCTTTATAAAAATTAGTTCTGGACAGGATTTTGCACTGCATCTTAACTGTATTTAATTTTTATATTCCATAGTAGAGTTGAGGTTGTCCAAGCAGGTCCAATATGTTTTAACTTTATTACGATTACTATAAAGTCTCTAGAAATACATCTAAAATTGTCTTGACAATTTAAACAAAAGCAGATCTGTATGGGATCTGTAATTGTACCATGCTACATGATTTAAGCTGGCTAATAGTGAGCACACACTGAGCAGCTGGGAATGAAAAGACTGTGTGTGCTGGGAAAGAGGAGGGAGAGCAGAAGCAAAGGTTAATAAAGCAAAATGTATTTCTCTTTTCTTGCTGAAAATTTAGCCTCATATTTACCTATATAATTGTATTAATATATACAGACAAGGCAACATATATTATATAGTTAATTCTTTTTAGTCATCCTAATACAATATTTCTGTTTTTCTTAGTATTTTTTCTGGTTTATGATTTTTTCTGTTTTACGATTTTGCATATTTGCATCTCTATCCCAGTTACACAAACGTAAATTTTTCATTAAATGTGGAAATGCTTTATTTAAGGTATTAAGTAAAACGACTGTCTTACCTAAAAGTTAGTGTTAAAGGTAATACCTTAAAACCCCAAATATAATATTTATGACACTTTTACAGACAGAGGTTTCAGTCGGTTAATATAAGTAAAAAAAAAAAATAATAATGACCAGAGCTACATAAAAAAAATCAGGTTATTTTTATCAGAAGCCTTTAAGTGAATTAAGTTTATAAGAAGCAAGCAGCTAAACTTGGTATGACTTACAATTATTTTTTACTTAAAATATAAAATCAAGTGAAAGACCATGAAAGAAAGCTACAGAAACTTCAAGATTATTGCCACTCTAAAAAAGAGATTTCAAGTCATACTTATAGCTTATACAAGATCATCTTTTTATTAAAGAACTCCCAAAGGTAAGTTACAGCATCAGCAGAAATCAAACGTAGCATATTTGTGCACATTTCCATTCAATAAGGTTAAGTCAGATTTGTGATTTAGATGCTCAGCAGATCCTAGCTCTACAGTATCATTACACTGTGCCTTGGAACTGAAGCTTTTTATTAGCCTAATAATGACAAGGGCTATATAGGACTTGCACGAGTGATGGGAGTCCTAAATGCACAGCAGAGACCAGAGTTCATGGTGGGTGCCAGGCATTGCACAAATATGAAAGTTACATATACTTTTTATGCGTAACAAATATTACAGTCACTAGGAAAATTTCTTACAAACAAAGGAGATGGTAATTTTGAGTTAGTAATTTACATAACAACCCTCCCCAAGTATAAAGGTTATACTTTTAATTATATTCTTGGGGGTCCCCAAAAAACTCAACCAAACTATCGCTTTCATCTTCACATAATAAAAAGCTATGAAACAGGCTGTTAACTGAATTAAGTGCCACAAGGTCATGAAATAAAAGAACTATTTTCTTCTTTTCTTCTTTCTTTCTTTTTTTTTTTTTTTCAGGAGAGAAAACAGTTTACAAAACAGAAAAAGACTTGTTCAATGAAACAATCAGCTTTAGTTACAAGTGCAAAAGTCAGCCATGTGTACTAATTCTCAGTAATTATGATGCAAAGCGAACTCCTTGGGGACTTAAAAGTCAACGCCTGGCAATGGTTGGGCAAACAGCAGAGTGGAGCTAGTCAGGTGATACTGACCCCTTCAAAGCCCTTTGTGTTACTGAACAACCCAAACCATCCAAGTATCTGCTTGTCCTCCCTTTCTTAGGCGAATACAGGCTGGTATCTAAAACATTACAATCTAGAATGCATCGCAGCACACAGCTCTTGCACAAGCAATGAATACACTCTAAGGAAACAGAAGCACTGAAGAAGGAAAATGTAAATCTGTGTTTGTAACACAATCCCAGCTGAGAATTAGATGTGGAAAGCGGAAAGGTGGTAGGGCAGGTGTCTTATAAAATTCATCTTAGTTGGTTTCCCCATTTTAGACTCCAACACATTATGCACTCCTGTCTTCTTGCCTCCCACATAAGCGATTACTACATTGTGAAATTAGGTAAAAATCCAAGACTGAAAATTTTCAAAAGCATTCAACAGTGTCCTTGCTGCTTCCACAGTGAAATCACAGGTTTCATGATGACTTAAACGAAGGCAAAAAGTTAGGCCAATACAATGGTGAAAGCTAGAGGAAAAAAGCCTGTCTTGGGCATCTCATATTTTACACATATCTTTACATCATGAAAAAAAAACTCACCCCCAAAAAAATAGGCACTGCTGGTAATGAGAGTCTCTGTTGCTAGTCTGAATTGGGTTTAAAATTACAAAAAAATCCCCAAAGACCACCTGCACAAGAAACAAGTTGCAACCTATCTACCTGGCACCAAACTATGCCCTTAAGTGGAACATTCCAGTTAAAAGAAAACTCAGGGCACTCTGCCACCATACATCTACTGCTACAACTTTATGCAGCATCTCACTGTTAATATTAATTTCTAATATCAAAGAGGACAAGCCAACATTTACAGCACATTTAAAATACATCTCAAACCACCTATCTCTTTAAGCAGATCCTTAGTTTACAGTGAACTACTGGCAAAAAGCTTGCTGCAGCACTCTTATGAATGACAGGTCTCTATAAAGAGTGCTTCTTGTACTGCATTAAAAAATTCACAGTAGTCTGTAAAATAAAAACTCTAGGTCAAATGACATTTTAAATGAAAATTTTGCTGAATTCTCTGTGGCTGCTACATTCATGAGACTTTTTATTAGTGTAAGGGGCAAATACTTTTTACTCTGCAAGCACTTTATTGCATTTTTCCTTCATTTACAGCATGCTTTTCATTTAGGGCTTTAGAGACCCACATTCTTCTCTCCCTCCCCTTCTTTTTTTCTCCCCTGAGTGCTCCTAAAGTTACAGAACAAGGGGATCCTACCTGGCAGTCTACAACAGGTCAGTGATCAAACAGAAGGAGCAGTGAGACAGCAGCCAAATCCTGCCCCATCTCCTGAGAATTACAGAAAGCCAGGGCTTCTCAGCCTGTAATGCAACTGAGCCACTGCACCCTGAGGCTCAGATAATCGTAGTTCACTTTCTGCAAGCACATACAGCACAGATCTCTGCACCTACTGAGGTTAAGACACAAGCATTTGTTTTTAAGTTGCTGCTCACTGTAGTTTTCGACACAGGTAGAAGCTGCTTGAAAATGTGACCTCATCCGTCTTATGACAGCAGCAACAAAGACAGACTGAAAATATACCGACATTGCTCTGCCCCAGTGATCAAAGCTGGTTTAAATAAACAGTGTGCTTTATCTGTAGAATGCACTGTTCTTTGAACAACTATTCATTCTACCTAACTATTTACATTTGCTTGAACAAATCAATACACCAGATAAAGTAAGCAGTAATATATATGAACAGACAGAACTAGACTAAATCATGAAGAATTATCATTTACTCAGTAATATGCCAGTTGTTCATTAAGATACTACTTTGTAAAAGCAAAACACTCTTAAAAACTTAGTGGGTTTTAAATACAACCTACTTTCAGGAATGCATTATGCACTGAGTTAACATTACACAGCCTACGTCTGCTATGAACTCAAAGAAGCATGAGTAGTTTTTGCCATTTCAAAAAGCAAGTATCACTGTAAAAAGTGAAAATTAGTGGGTGCAATAACACATCAGGAAAGAAGTTACATGGCAGAGTGGGTGCCACAAAGTAGTAACTAATTATTAACTTCTGGAAAGGTTAGCATGAATCCTCTTTAGGCCATAAGCTACAGCCAACATGAATAAAGACACATTCTTTATTAAGGAAACAAACTCTAAGCTGTGAGAATTATAGAGCACAGTTAAAAGGCATGATGCACAGAAACATTTACCCTTTCATCAAGAATGGCTGGCCTATCTAGGAAAGAACTGAGATGCTCTAGTAGAGTCTGCTCTTGAACCGGATCTGTGGTTAAACAGAAGCCTTAGTCCACATAGTTCATCTTCCACACTGCATTTTCATGACTCTCATATGAAGGAAATCAAAGATACTTACACAGCCACCAGCAAGAATTTCTGCAGCCAGTGGGACAGAGCCATCTTTACTCATAAACTTATCTCTCACAAAATCATTAACCTTAAAAAACAAACATTTATGAAAGTCAATAAATTAAAAGGTCAGAGAAAACATTCATCAGTTGCAAATTCCATGCAATTGAAAATGCAAATACATCCATGAAGTTACCAAGCTACTAGGTATCAAACAAATCTTAGATTTTATATTAAATATTCTAAAGCTATGATTTTCTTTCTAACAAAAATTTGAAGCATAATTCAAATATTTATTATTGAAAAAATATAAATCACTAATTAAATTAAAAATCTGAAAAATATAAAATAATTTAATATTTTAGACATGCTCGCTACATTTAAATATAATATCAAATTAATATCAGAATGTTCAATACTAAGTTTTAATAAAATGGCAATTCAATTAATAGCATTAAGTACCTTTTTTTAAATTCATACTACTAGCTTTGGTGAATACTAGCTTATCAGTGAATAAACAATACATTATTATTGGGTTATAATAAGAAATTCTTCAGTGCCTTAAAATCACTCAAGAAATAACAATATTACAGAAGTAAAACATTTAGAAAAAACATCATGCAAACAAGTTCCTTTCTTACCAACAATTGATTACATGCTCATATAACCTCCTGTTGTGCTAGAGTCATACATACAGGAACCACGTGGAGATACAAAAACAAAAGCCCTCCAAGTCCAATAAATAATTATTCATAATTATTAGTCCAATAGTAGTTACTAAGAAGTGAAACTAAAGGCCTGCATGACTTACAAACAAGGAGATGAGCTGAACAAGTTGAATAAGCTTGTTATACTTTGGAGTGAGTCCAAAAATAAGTTTTCAGTAAGATTCTTAAAATATACATATATACCTCTGCATGTGACTTGTATGTCACTGATACTGTTCACAGGTGAGATATTAACAGCTGCTTTGTGCTTTTTGTAATTAAGTTTGTATCAAGTAAAAATGAAGGAATACACTCTACCATGTTGCTGACACATTAAGGATAAAAATCCTTAACAGGCTAATTGTAATTTGATGCCCTTTACACTGTGGAGAAATGTGAAAACCATCCATTTTCAAACTTACAGTTAGTTTTATGGCCTTCTCTGGTGCTACTCCTAATAGCTGCGGTAACAGACCTGTAACATGGAAATAGAGAATTCAAGCCATCGAGTAACTTGGTTTTAAATAAACAAATCAACAAATATATGTAGAGATCAGCACCCAGAAACGGGCGATTTTTACAGCAATTTTGTGTTATTATATTAAATGAGAGTACTTAAACATTCAATTTCGAGAACAAACTTGGTGCTACCACTTAAAGTGCTACCACTGCCTATACATACTGGTTTCTTTATTTTTTTATATCCATACTAGCTCATTTTATGCTTAAACACTAGTTCAGATTTGACAACTATGTTTCTGTACAGTCCTAAACTAACATTTATTTTCTGCATCTTCACACAAAAATCAAGACTTTCTAATGAATTTTGTGAGATATGCAATGCACCCACTTTAAATGCCATAAGTGCAGTACCTTTTTCTGGCAAAAACAATGGCATTAGATGGCAGAACCCAAGGGGATAGGAATCAAAATAATGCAAAACATTCAAACATGTATGACTGCATTCTTGAGCTCTTTGCCCTGCTAAATCACCAGTTCTTAAAACAAAGGAAGTTATGTTGCTTTCTTTCCAGGCATGGAATTTCCTATTTTATTTTGTTAAAAAGTGATGCACTACAGAATTGGAAATGTGAATTTCTGACTGTCAGCTTCACTTGCTTGAAGTGAACAGTCAATATTTTGTAAACATTTGAATGACACAGACTAAAAATAGGCAAAGCTTGCTAACAAAGCCTAGGGCTAGGATGGTGTTGCAAGCATTCATCAGCATAATGAAATTAGGACACCGTCCAGAAATGTGAGAAAATCACAGCAGCTAGAGCTCCCAGTACAGACCCGTCTGTTTTAGTAGCTCAGGCAGCACCTTTGCCTATTTTCTATAAAGCCTGACATTGTCACCTATACATGGTTTTATTTTTGGGAAAATAGACAATTAAGGTTCCACCTCTAAAAGTTAACTTGCTGAAAAGCATTTTCCTGCAGAGCCAAACGTCAGAATAACACAGACAAAAATACACTCGCACTAGTTTAGCATATTCTTCCATCCTGCTACCATCAGCTTTACTAGTCCCTACTGATGCTCTTAATAAGGAAATGACATTGAAGAAAAGCACCATCTGACTTGTGGTATCAGAAGGCCCAAACATATTTATATACTAATGTCCTTATACAGTACATATACATGCAACATTTATCCAAGACAACTATGACTGAATATTAAAATAAAAGGATACAGTAACACTAAGTTCATATAGAGTTGATCAAAACAAAAAGAAATTCTGCAGAGCAGGTTAAATTTCAAAATTTGAATTTCTAAAGTTTTACTTGCACAGGTGACTTGAATTCAGACCTCAATGAAAAAACATTAAGACACACAGAATTGTGTAATTAAATATTACATTATATGCAGCACTATGAAGAAAACACAAGAATATACAACAAAAAGGATTGTTTCATTGCAAAATTATCTTTGTAATTGTTATAATATTTACATCTTGTTATAAGACATGTGTGGCTCTATATAAGCATTACAGCTAATGAATTTATATCTTCAGAGACTAAAAAAATGTTCCATATACTTTAAAAGGACACTACCTAATCCTAAACCTAATCCAGTAGAATTAGAGCAGGTCTGTAAGCAAAAGAACACAGAGATAATTAATTTTAAAATCACATATATTATTACACCTGAGCTATATATAACATGACTTTGAAGCCATATTTTATCAAATAAATCACAGAAAAAGACATTCTAAAATGTCAAGGTATGAAATTATAAAAATAGTCCATTTAGTGATCTGCATAAAGCTCTAGTTTTAGAAGCAACATAAGCAGGACAAATCACTGAACTGATCTGAAGATGGCCTTTTAACCATTTTTCATTTTTCAGCTCCCAAGACTTTGCATTTGTAAAGACACTTGTAAAGTTGCAGGAAAAACGGGTTTATCTTGGCACAAGTTATTTTTTCCCACCTGGTTCATTCCTTTTGCACTCAAATCTGAATTGGATGGTTACAACTCAAAACCTTCCATAAAACTTGAAGGTAGAGGAGAAAGATTAAATAGAGTAGGTAGCTGTTAAAAAAAAAAATCCAACAGCAGAAAAACCCAACTGGACAACCAAAAACTCAGACCATTTTTCTCTTTTTCTCTCTCTACTTCACACATGATTTTATAATATAAAAGTCCTTTCTAAGTTTAATTTCAGATAATGCTGTGTATGTCTACTGCAGGATAGATTACAGTATTTAAAAAAGGTAGCATATAGAAACTGTATTTTATAGCCTTGCCAGACATCAGCAAGACCTACTGTGTCCAGCATCTTAGGAAGGTAGAGGGACCCTTTGTTTGATCTCATACCTATGCAATAAAGCCATCTTTAAGTGGTACCTGTGCATTCTATGTGCTATGACCATCAAAATTAAATTCTCTTTTCTTTATTGTTTTGATGAGAGCCCTGAAACACTGTTCAAAGATTTCTAAACATGATAAAGATGCTAAGTTTTGAAAGAAAGCAAGCACATCAAAGGACCCATATGAAAATGTCACATTTCCATTGGGGTTATCCTAACATGCTGGGAATTTTTCAGTGTTACTAAGCATTAGTAGATCAGTAATATGATGCATACACTGATGGAGAACAGGCTTAGAAATGTCTGACAGTGTCTTAAAAAATATATGCCTTTTATAACATCATAGAATAACATTTTGCACATAGGCAGCCTGCTAGTATAATACAGAGCAAATATTATTCAATGAAATTTTTCATATCCAAGGTTTTTTAGTAGCAATTATGATGTACCTCTTCATATTTGACACTGTCGTTGTAGGATGCTATGGGAAGGTGAAGGTATATGCAAGGGAGAGCACCAAGAGCTGCATTCAGTTTGTGACACTGTACAAGTCATTTTCTGAAAGCAGTCTAAATACATTGTGAATATACAATAGCTCATCCAGCCCAGTTGTGATAGCACTGAGTTAAAAAAAAATCTTATTTGGACAAAGTATTTTTTCAGATGTCTAACAGGGAAACTTCAGTTTCACACTGTGTAACAGATGTAATTCTCCCTTCATATTAGAAAAACCCACTGACTGAAGGAGTTGTTGCTCCATCTAGGTAAAATATTTGAAACCATTTGGGCATCTTATAGGAAGGCAGTAATGGAATACTGCCAAATTTTTCCATTGCAGGATTCACACCAGCAATTGAAATCACCAGTTGCCATTCAAGTAAACCTCCCTCAGACTGGAAAGGGGGTACTCCTTGAAAACTTAGTGCTTTGACAGAACTTGGGGTACAAGATGGCTTGTATTTCCATTCTACAGAGATGGTACTTCATTGCCTAATTTGGGAGGAAAGCTTCAGCCACAGTCTTGATGTATCATTAGCATGGGAGTCCATCAGTAATAATGAAGCTGGATGATGAACAAATGATTAAAATCTAAGATTAGATGGCATTTGGAGTCACTGCAGTGCCAGAAGTACCATCAAAAGAAATAAAACTAACAAGCTCCTAAACAGTTAACGATCACAGATGACAGTGTCTTCAACAGCATTTCCTGTCTTTTCCACCCTTTAGGCAAAGTAGCATTAACAGCATGGCTACCAAATGTTTTCCTAAGATGGTACTTAAATTATCTCTGGTACTTAAATTTCCCATAAATTTTCTATCAAGCACAGGTGAAATAATCTCTACTAGATGCACTGCTTAAGACTGTGAAGCAGTCTGTGACTCATCAGGTGGACTTCTGATTTAAATAATATTAAGAAACGTAGGTGACCTCATCAGTTGGAACAGATCTTGACAAATCACAGATTTCAAAGTTTTCTTATATTTGCATATATGTACATATATACCTTTAAGTTTCTAAATACGCATTTCAGGTATAAATGTAGACACAGCAGTAAATTACAGGCATATGAGATAAGTATTCTTTTTAGCCATGCTGAGAAATAGACAGATAAAAAAATTTTCTCAAGTATACAGTCTTAAAAAAAATTATCTAAAAACACAGCTTTCAAATAATGCATATTATGAAAACTGCAGAGATTTATATAATGTTTGGGTTTGTGGGTTTTTTTTAATCAAAGTATCTTCTCAGTGGAAACATTGATTACCCTTAGTACCAAACTGACAACAAACAAAATTTAGTGCTCTCTTTATATCCACAAGATGGTGTAATTTATCCTTACCTGAGATGGTGGTTTAGAACATGGTTTCCAAGTTTGGAAAAAAATAATGATACAAAAAAAAAAAGTCAATTCATTTCACTGGGTGGAAATATATGCCTGGTGTTAAAAATATCATCTGAAATGCCTGAGTTCAGAGTGGGGCTTATAATTACTGCTTGCTTGAAGTGCGTCATGACAAAGGGACCACTCCTCCAAATGTTTCTACTACTGTTTTTTAAAAGGTTTTGCATCACTATTCAGCTAAGCAGGAGAACTCTAACAGTGACTACTCCCTCCTTCAGTGGGGACAAAACCACCCACATTGACTTAAGTCTGAACACATCACAGTGCAAGAAAGAATTGCAGCTAGTCATGAGTAGCAAAAAGTAATGTACTCTGTAGTTTGTCTTATCTAGTGTAGTATTCAAGACCAGAATGAGATGATTCTTGCTGTATATATACTGCATTACATTGGGTAATTATCCTAATCTATAAAATGCTTCTTTCAAATTTTTTGTCTTCTTAAGCTGAACTGGAAACTTCCTTCTGCACTCAGTTGCTCAACTTTCTCGAGCATCATCTCCTTAGAAAGTAAGTAACAATGCAAATTTAAAGAACTCCATGGAGGAAGCTCCAGATTTTTAAGGAGTTTTCTTTATTTGACTCCTTAAAAGAGAAGCTAAGTCAGGGTGCCCTTTAAATAGAGAATCTGTAGAAATATAGGTCTCAATTTGCCTCTGAAATGATGGTATTCTACTATATAATCCAGAAATTAGATTACTGGCCTAGGTTTAGAATTTCAGATCCACTAAACTGCCAGAGATTTCACTATTCAGTATTACTTGGAAGATTGAAAAGTAGTAAAGGGGATGGGGAATGGAAGGACAAGCTATACTGGTGAAGGTTCCTAAAGCTCCCTAAATTTGGCAATGAAAAAAATCACTCCAAAGACAAGGCAAGCAAATGGAGTTTTTGGTTTTTTTCTGAGTTTTTGGGTTTTTTCCAGGTGAAAAAACCACTGTGCTTCAGAGTTTCAATAAGACAGAAGCAGGTAATAGTGGAATTCTGCATATTTATTCTTTCAAGATCCCGGAAGAAGCAGATATACATTTGCAGGGAATACATTTGGCTCTTTAACGAAAAATTAGCACTTTCAAAGATTCTAATTGTTATAAAGCCTTACAATTTAGAGACCATGTCAGTAGCCTTTATTAAATTATTATGTCTACTCCAAAAATTGCCTCAAACTCAGTCAATAATAACAGACCTTTCCCATCTCCAATTGTGCTGAAATAATTAGAGAGTCTGTATTTTGCACAGAACCACTTAGCCAACCTCCAGTAACTCAGGTCATATGTGATAGAGTGCACATACACCACACCACCTAGTTTTAATGTTGTTTCCCACATTGTCTTATAAACTGTTCTTTTTTTTAAATTGTGCATAGTTTTGCCCGATCATTACACTATTTTATCAAAATCCTTTGTTCTTCATTCCTGACTCAACTGCTTTTAGCAATTAATTTCTTTCATTACAATATTCTTATTTTCAAAAGTGACAAAAAGTTTCTAAGCAAAAATGAATTTTCTGACTAAAAATGAAATAAAGATTTCAAGTTTGAAATTATCCTCAATGGATACGGCAGAGAGGAATAAAAGATCTCAATAACTGGGACACCAGAAATATAATTTACTTTAACTCTGTGACAGAGAAGAACTGCAGTCTCATGCAGTAGTTCCTGATTCTTTGTGATTCCTTCTGAGTTACCTGAACTGACAGAGTTGATACCACAACAGGGACAAGGACAAAATACATTAAGAAAAGCCACCATCTAACTACAGGTACTTAGATCTAAGATATCCAAAGTGAGGATGATTTACATCCCGAACAGAGTCCTCAGTGTTGGGGGCCTTCTGCTTTGACTACAAAGGCAGCTCAAAACAGCTAACTTCCTAACTTGGGTGTATTGGTTAGATATACATATAGCTAAGCGGGTTGAAACCCAGCAAATTGCTCTGGCTGACTCCACAGTGACAAGCTAAGAAGAGGTACATATAGAACTTGATAAAGATGACTATTTCCAATGATTAGTCATGCAAATGCAACTGGTTCAGACAGAACTTTTTTGTCTAAAACATATCACAAAGAGAGATCTGGTTAATAACAAGATTATTTTCTTTGCTTTTAAATAGAAAGAAGACAGATAAGAAAGAACTGTGAAACAAAACAAAAAAACCCCCAAACCAAACAACAAATACTCACAGATGATCTAACTTCTTACCAAACAGGACAAAACACTATTGGTACTAAGGACTGCTAAGGAAATGAAAACTTGACTAACAGTGTATTTTTGCTGTAGGAAATTGCTATTGTTGCCCTACTGCAGATGAGGAGGGACAGGACAGAGAGGTCCTACAGAAATGTTCTCATTACAATGAAGTTTTAATTATCAATAAGTTTGCAAACCTTTCTCCTCTAACAAAGAAGAAGCAAAAGCACAAACCAGGCAAAACTGCAGTCTGAACAAAAAATGCTTAAAAATCCAAAGTGGCATGAAACTCTTATTAATATCTTATCATTACCTTTTAAACTTACCTCTATAAAGCCCAAAGAAACCTTCATAACGCAGCACTTTCTTGAAGCAATCAAAGCTGTTTTTGTACATAAGTTCGCCCACAAAAGAGCCTGTAGAACGCTGGTTTTGCATTCGAGTTTTTACCAAATCAATTGGGTAGACTGCAGTGGCTCCAACAGCTACAAATAAAAATCAAGGTATAAGAAAACATGATTATGCATTTGCAGTGTTTGACTGTAACTGTCATCTTTCACATTTGCATTTAACATATCAGTTGTATCTTTTTTCTCCATGATATATTCTGGATACATTAAACTACGTCCCACAGTTTTAACCAAAAGCACTTCCTGGCCCTACCTCACTGTTAATTGCGTTCTCCTGAAACTTGTTTGGTGATAAATCAGATAACAACACCACCTGGAAACTCCAATGGCTCATAAATTCCAAAACACTTGCAGACCAAATGATCTTATATGATCTTCAATCTTACAGTCATCCCATCCCTTAGACAGAGCTCCAAGGGCAAGTCTGAGAAGCCTTCTACTCTTAAATGAGAGGCAGAAGGGGAAGAAGGGCAAAAGCAAAGAAGAAAAAACCCAAACAGTGAAGATGAGTCTTCTTTTGCTCAGCCATGACTAACCTCCAGCAACTGAACCAAGGGCAAACCTGTACGCTGATTCTGCAATCTGGATGAGAATAGGTCGAGACGCAGCACCTGAAGCTTTCTGTCAGGGCAGAATTTAAAGCAAAAGGAAAGAGAAGAAAAATAATCAGAACATCATATTTCACAAGAGAACATCTCATGAGCAGATAGATCTAAGAACAGAGATATCTGGAAAAAATCCCACAATACACTGCAGATTTTGTTTGCAATTATTATTTCTTTTTCACTGATTTGTAAGTTCCATATAACACAGCCTCTTCAGACTGGAATAGCAAAGAAAATAGACTGATACTACAACAAAATTATACAACTCTAAAATCAATGGTCTAAATGTGGTCTAAATGAGGGCATACATATTGCATCTTAAGTCATTAATTTTCTGCAGCTAAAAGCAACTCCAGTTTGGAATTTCTTTCTACTGTCGCCAAAACCGGGTGTATCTATTACTTCTCAGGCTATCAAAACAAGTATGCAAGCTCTGTTCATACATATTAGCTAAAGGAAAATAAAGTTTCATAAAACACCCGCACAATTTCATTTCGTTCACAGTCTATGAGTGCTAGATTCAACCCGATGAAAAATAAATTTCAGAAGTGCTCCAGATTTAAAATTACTATCTGATGAAAGAAAATAATAAAGAAAAAGAAGTTCTGCAGGGGTTTTAAACCTTCCATACTTACTATCACTTTTCGTAATACGTTCTTTTTAGAATACTACAAGTAAAAGGACAAAATAAATATATGCATATATTTTCCTGAAAAGGTTTTAGTTAATATTCCAATGTAGGTGGAATCGGCCAGAAAAGAAATTGAAGGTATCAATGTAGCTGAAAATCTTTTCAGTCTCCGCATCAAACAGCTGACATTAAGAAAGAACTGAATGGGAAAAATGAAAAGGTAGGACATATATGCAGAAGAAATTGTAAGATTTAAGCAGGTTCATATGTCCTAGCCTCTTAGAACGACGTAAATCCTACTAGCAAAGACAGTGGTCCCAAAGCAAAAACTGGGGAAGCTGTTACTTTCATCACCACATTTTTGGCTACATTTTACCGCCACCTATTGTAACTTATATTCCTTGACATTCAGCCCAATGCAAATGCTTTTAACTCCTTTAGGAGTCTTCTAGGAATAGATGGTGAGCTTTGGTAGCCAACTCATCTGAATTCATCCCAGCATCATCAACATTTAGTCACTGCACAAACAAACCACCACCCCAGATACTGTCTTGGAGTGGTGGTGGGGGTGTTCACATGTAGGGGAGGGAGGAGAAGAAAAAAGAGAAGCAAAAGAGATGCATGTGTACACACACACACACAGAGGCCTGGCTTATGGCCTGCCAGTCCTAAAAATGTAGCCTACATCAACTCATTGTGGTCAAACTGGCGCCTCTGCACAGACCGAGAGCAGGAAAAAAGAAAACCAACAAAAAAACCCTTGGTCTCACAAGACACAAAGTTAAGACTGCCTTAAAATAGAGACAGAGAGAAACAGAAGGGTTAGTTTTAATCTATGTGTATAGAAACTTGTCAAGGAAAATCTAAAATATAATAAAATAATATGAAAACTAAAAGATCAATAGGTTTTGACATTTAAAGAACACTCCTATTTCTTTTGCCTCAAACACAAAAAAAGTTCATTTGTGGTTATATCACTGAAAGTAAATACCCTATAGGTTTTGGAAATTAAGACAATAATAATGTTTTTACTGAAACTGTGATGTTAGTCTATACATAATGTCTCCTATTTTGATATTCAGCAGAGCATAAAGCAAAGCAGAGAACACTCTGAAGCCAGGAACATGGATGTATGTTCAGAACAAGGGCTGCCATTTAATAGGCTACATACTGAATTTTACCAATCATATATGAAGCAGGAAGTCTCTTTTCCTCATTAAAAAGAACAGAGAGCAACAGAATCACAAAACATAAACACCTTAATTAAGTATACACCTAATGTTTACTGAATGGTGGGATGACACTCCTATACATTTTATCTTTCCAAAATAAATTACATTTGACCTGTCAAAATACAGCCCAAGAGAAAGGGGCACAAAGAAGAGATAGAAAGAATATGACACAGGCTAAAAATAAATTCTAATAAGATGGTATTCCTCACAGATATTACAAAACAAGAAAAAAGCAACTTAGATGACAACACAGAAGAAAGTTGGTTATCTATTTACCTGGCACTGGAAACAAATAATAGAATAGCATTATACTAGATTCTGTTCTTACCTGCCTCTGAGCCTCTGCCAGATTGTAGGGTAATGTCCCTTCCTCCAGAGGAGCAATTCTTTCAATATCAGCTAACGTCATGCGCCTGAAGAAATTAGTTCAGCTTAGTGTTTGCTTAGAGACGGGTTTTCAGATCTCAAGAAGCTACTCGCACGTGGCCACTACACTACACTCTCCTGTTCCCCAACATCACCTTCTACTCTTTCCAAGAACTAGAGAGGAGGAAAGGAAAGAGAGGAAGATAGATAATTCTTCACTTACCCCCGAGGCTCATAAAGATCTGCTAACTGAAACAAGATGTCAACTTCCATGGGTGTAACCTGACCAAATTTCTGAGCTGCCAGAACAAACTCTTCTGCAACAGAATAAAAATACAGAAAAGAAAATGCAATCAAACCAGAAGAAATAATCCAGAGCACCCCAAGGTTGCTCTGTATTTTAGTATAAAGTACAAGAGGCTGGCTGGAGGGGGGTAAAAGGGGAATAAAATTGACTCAACACAAAAGTGGTTTTGCCACTACATAAACGTGTGATTTCAATAGTCTGTCCTTCATGCAAGTAACTACAACTCTCTGGTCTTAGTGCTACCAGCACAGTTTAGGATATCTGACATACGGTATCAATCAGTTGCAGGTCAGAAGGAAAAAATAAAATAAAAAGCAAACAAAAAACCTCCCGAAACAGGAGTCAAGGGATGTGGAACTTTTCATGCATAGTCCCAGTAGGCCACATTAATGAAACTCTGGCATTGCACAGGGAATTCTCTATAAAAGTGGTTAGATATAGCAGATAACATCTTGTTCCAAGCTTGTAGATCAGCTTACTGTGCCGCCAATACAAGTTTATGGAATTCTTCAACTACCCTTGAAGGTCACTTTAATAGGCTGCCAATTTGGCAGGAGTCCTAGGAAGTTTTTGAAACTTTTAAATATCTTTACATACTTTCCTCACCCTGCCCCCACCACCAGTTTACTAGGACCTTATTCTGATTGAAACAAAATGAAAAACCTGGAGGGTGGACTCCAACAGGAGTGTACAAAACTGAGTGGCAAACCAAGGAATGCTAACGAGGCAGGATTTTTTCCCCCTCCCATTGATTTAAAAGCATACAGATGAGGTCTTTCCCTCCATCCGCCCCAACCAAATGCCCAAGAAAACTTCCAGACTGCAAACATTTCTACCAACCCTTAGTGACTTCCACATCTTTTCTATTTCCAGCCAGAGTACTGTAGATCTTTCTAATGAGCTCCATGTTGTTAAGGAGAGAATTAAATCCATTAAAATAGGAAAAGCTGACCTGATGGGAAGTGGTACCTCCAGCAGCCTGGAGTAGAGACAGTAAAAGAAGAAAAGAGAAAGGAGACTGTTACAAGACTAGGAAAAATATCAAAATAAAGATTTTTCAAATGTTATTTTAAAAGAATAACAGTAGCATGGGCTTGCTTTTTAAAAAAATGTGCAAAATAAAGAAAACTATGAAAGATTATTATGTTACTGAAGCTAATCATGACCAGAATATAAAACTCCCCCATCCTAAAAATCTAAACAAATACATATGCAGGATTATAACAACATAACTAGAAGTAATTTACAAAGTTCAAGTTTCAGTACTGTTTCAGTTGGAAATGTTTCGTAAGTTGGTTTATTTCTAGTAATGAGGAAATCTACTTCTACATATAAAGCATATTACTATATAGAAAATTTCAACAAAATCAAAACATATTTCAGGTCAACTGAAACATTTAAATTCACAGGCATTTCAAGTCATGGAAAACTAGCAATAAGCTCTCAGGTTTATATCAGGCAGTCAAACATAATAGGAACAATAAGGTTCAAACAGTTATTCATTCTCAGGTGAGAACTGAACCTAAACCTTTGTTTTAAAGTGGTGTTGGGTCTGCACATAGAAAAATTACTGGATCAATTCTCTATTTAAATTACAAAATCAGCGATCAAGCAAATTTCAGAAAAAAAATGCATAAACTTGCCAAAATTTAATTGACCTTGAGGGAAAAATCAAAATCTTATCTGATGTTTTATGAGAGAGTATATGACCGGAGAAAGCTGGTAACAAGATTGTAAGGGAACCATGGAAGTATCAGATCTCACTGTCAGTGTCTAAGTCTTCTGGCTATGTTTTTTGCTGTTAGCATCTTCCAAAATTCTGATCAGACTTTCCAATTCTCATCACTTCACACATTTCCCTGGAATTCTTCCTTGCAAGTCAAAGAAAAACAGATTTCTTTAAACCTGGATATAGCCAGGCTTTGCATTACTCGGAAAGTGCTACTACAAGTTCCTCAGATTAGAAATTGTGGTCAAAACCAAATGTACCTTTTTTAATTTCTTCAGTAAAATTGCAGAATTGCAATATTTAATTCAGTTTGTGCACTTCAAACTGATACAAAATGTACAGTCAAGTGTAACAACTACTAGCCAATATATAGTGAATGCCCTTGGGTAATGTTCTGGTTCATAAATTGTCCCAGGTACTTGGAAATTACACTCAGGAGCTTAGAATTTACACTACAAACCAAGTTCTTTGAGAAGGATATCCTAAGTGGGATGCAATGGCGCTCTGACATACTGACACAATCTACTATGATGGAGTGACTGCAAACAGCCAGGAAAATGCTAATTTGTAGGCCATTACTAAGGTCCATATACATGCTTTGTCTTTTTTCTTAGGAGACCAGGAACATTGAGGATATGTATTCTGCAAAAAGGGTTAACTTGCATATTGTGTAGATAAAAAACTGCTGAACTTAAAACATACATCCTTGAGATGGACAACATGTCACACAGAGTGGTCAAGGTACATAAAAAAGGAATCCTACATCTGTATTCCAGGTCTTTGCCAGCTGGAATACCAGAACTACTCACAGCTACTAGACACTCTTCTACGAATGGCGTCAGCATGTGTGGCCGGATAGTGACCATAATGTCCCTGAAGTCCATAGCTGTGACTCTTCCAGACTGAGCACTGTCTCTCTGTACAAAAGCTTGTTTTGCATGTTCTAACTGTATCTCCTGAAAACATACAGGGGAAAAAAATAGTTAAGTTCAAAATCATCATCTTAACACTTAGGTTTAATATAAATAATGCAATCTTACAAGATTTCTCATACTTAACAAAACAGGACTACATTTAATCTAATTGGATATTGTACGTCTAAGTTTTGGCCTTTTCTATCAGGAGCATATATGGTCTCCATCACTGAGCTCAATATCTAGGACAACATCATGATTTCTTTGCCTTCTGGACATTACATCGTGCAATTCATTTAACTGAAAAACGGAGGACACATATCAACACCCAGTGCAGGTAATATCCCACTCATGAACATTAAAGTCTTCCATGACGTGCATTATCCAGTATATTGAATGTGTCACAGCAGGTCAAAATACCTTCTGTAAAAGTGCTCACTACTCCTTGAACAAGGACAATGCAATCATCAGAGATTTCCATGTAGAAACCTACTAATCTGGAAAGCATTCCCTGAAAAAGTATCCCCATTTAAAACATAAAGGTTTTTGTCTACAAAGGACACCAGCAGTTTAATTCAGAACTCCTTGTATCGTGACTGATTAAAGATCAGTTCTCAATATTTCAACAGTAGTAACAGTCATAAGCATTATCTGATACAACCCCCCGATAATATCATTTTGTGATTCTAATGTACCACTGAGAGAAAAGAGGAGAAAAAAAGGCATTTAATCCCTCATAGCTGTATCTTTCCTACTGTGGCCTTCACCCTTTCTTCTTAAATTACTGTTAAACTACTTTTTTTTTTCCCATTTAAAAGAAACAATCAAGCACAGACAGTAACTTGAAAATACATGTGAACGTTTTGTTCAGTTCTACAGGTTTGCAAAAAACCAGAAATATATCTTTTGGTGATGTAGTCAGAGCTCCCAATCTGTATTTCTCAGCTGAACGGAGGAAAACAAATCATTGTCATGTCTTCCCTTTTAACTGCAAGGATTATAAAAACTTCTTCATTGGAAATACAGCACTTAGTCTGAATATATACTCATAATCAGTTATTCAGAAAATGGAATCAGAGCAAAAATATGTTACCAGTACTAAGCAAGTCTTGTGGTGGACCCTGACACTATCCAATTATTTCCATTATATTTGCAAATATATGCCTTAAAAGACATATTAATACAGGACTCAGGCTAGTCAAGAACCACCATCATGTTGTATTCATAGTGAATATGATCTCCCGTAAGTTGATATTTGTCTTACAGCAGCCTTCAAGGAAATAAAGAGTGAAAGGCAAAAGGCAAATTCAGAGTAGGATCAGACATGCCAGAGGCCTGCATCTGCCACTCCCTCCCTCCTTCTGTTCATTCAGCTCACACTGCCACTCAAACCATGATTGTCTTTTCATTTGCCTCCGGATTCCCCCAATTTTAGTTCTAATTTCTAATTTCTTATTAGAACACTGTACCATGACCTGAAAGGTACGATGAAAACCTCCTACTATTAGGCAGAAGGAGGAAAGGAATGGAGGGAAAGGACTGATCCATGCTTCACTCACAAAATTGTTCAGAAATTTCTTCTTTTGATGGGAAATGCTTGTGGGGCTTATAATTTGAAGTGGTACAATTTCAGTTCTGCCACGTTTCCTTTACATTACAGACCCCTACGTGGAGGTGTTACAATTCAGCAATAATACTCACTCTGGCTGGATGCAGCCATGTAAGCTCTTACTTCAATTCATTCGAGACTATAATTTGAACAGAAATTTGGAAGCAAGCAATTTTGGAAGGTTTATGGTGGATGAGCACATGAACACGAAAAGACTTTGTCATCTTGAGGCTGGCAGCAACTTGGGAGGCAGAGAGCTCTGAAAAGGAACTAGGTATAAAAACTCTTGTATCCTAAATACTCACCACCTGGCAGGTGTTTGTTATTAAATGGAAGCATCACCAAAGAAAAAATAAATTTTATTTAGCAAAAGGATTACATGGGAAACTGAATATTGCTTTCTTCACCTTCCCTCATTCAATTTGTTTTAACCACTGAAACTGCTGGCAGTTGTTATGTTAGAATCCAGCACTAAGATACAGTAAAAAAACCTGTACACCATTTGCAAAAGTCCAATCTGTTACCATCCCTGTAGACCAATCAGTGAGTCTGGAGGTATGTATACCATTGGTGGGACTTTGGCTGACAGTGACATCTCAGCCACAGTACAAAGCAGGGCTTACACTCCAAAGAGATACATGAAGTGCATGTTTCTTATCATCACCTAGCTAATTGCAAAAAGGCTACTAGTACTACAGTTGAGCACTAGCACTAGAAAGAATTATCCCGCTTGGTTAAAACACCTGGTCAAGGACTCAGCGCTGCCATTTGCTCATCTTTTTGTCAGTCAGAAAAAAGCCATTTAGCTGCAGACAGACAGCAAGCCAAAACCCTGAATGGGATGATGTCAGTCTTCTGGAACTCCCTATTCACACCTCCTCCTTAGTTCAGAATGTAAGTTCCAGTTCAAAATGGTTTAAGCATACTGCAAATAGATAGAGAAGATTGATACCACCTTCTCAGAAAGATAGAAACCTTCTAGGCTACAGTTATTTTGACCAGTGCTACATGTTTTCCACTTACACCAAGTGGAAAGAAGCATAGGGATCTTCAGTCACCTGACATTCCCAAACCATGACCATGGATGGCAGCATGGCATACAAGAACATGCAGACCATTACATTGTAATACAGTCTCAAAACAAAATTTCACCTATAAAGTCTGTCACAAACAAATCAGACATGTCACTTTTCTAATCACTGCACAGTGCATAACAATGCACTAAACTCCTTGAAGTGTTTACCCCAAAAGAAAGGCTATCCCCTCAGTCTCCACACCTGAATGCTGAGATAACTCACAGCACAACTAACTACATTTCAAAATGAGGCTCAGTAGCTGCCAGAAATTTATCCTGGAATTCTTTATGAGATGTTTGTAACATCACCTGTGTTGGGTGTATGCAGCTAATATAAAAAATACCACTTTAAAAATAAACTGAAAAACAATAAGAAAAGCTGTAGTCTTCAGAGATGCTATCTGAGTTGCAATAATTTTTATTATTTCACCTATTTTGGTCCCTTACTGTTTACCTAGACACATAAAGGTTTAAAGAAACACAATCCTCATTACTTTGCAATACAAATCACATATCCTAAAGAACCTTCTCTGACTAGACTTTCTGTAAACTTAGATATACATAGAAAATGAGTTTCTTCCTTGATGTTGGAAGTCTAGAATTCTCCCAAGTAGCATATGACTTTGTGAAAAATCAACTTGTACATCATGGCAGGCACACTGGCACTAGAATTTTAATGAAATTATATTCTATCTAGAGATTTCACCTCAGCTTCCACTTACAGCTCATTAAAAGCTTCTTTACTTTCCACTTAGGTAGAAATTTATGTTTGCATTCCATCCCAATGGATCTACAAGCCACCAGATACAGCACAATCCTTGCCACTGGAATAGATCCCAGGGTTCAATTAGAGAGAGTACTACTTCATCAACTAATATGCTGGGCATAAATGAATTCCCAGACAATGTGGAAATGGATTTACCAGGCCCACATATAAGCATATGTTAAAATTCATCCTGTGGAATAGATTCTACACGCCAAGAAAGGGGCTGATGTTGCTCTTCATAAGGCAGACTTGCCAATTAAGTGATGATGGAACATGACCATATTCAAACAGATGTGATGGATATATACTGGAGATATATGAGCTAATTTTAAGCTAGCAAAATGAGAAGCAGGGTAAAACAACACACCTTGAGCTCTAAGTTGATGCAAATAGATTGTTAACTGTATTAGAGCCAAGGAATTTGGAGGCTATACTTTCAGGCATCTCAGTTACTGCAGACAGAAAAAGTGCTGGCACGATATAAATATTCAGAATCCCATATAAACTCTTCTTATTTAAAGCCACAAGAGATCTATCTCGTGCGTGGATAAAATATACTAATGTTATTTTCCAAGTACCTTCAGCATTGCCAGAAGCGATGATTAGCTCAAATGCTGTGACAGATATCAAACATGAATGTAAAAGAATTTGAATCTAGCTAGATTATTACATTAAAATTTGCAAACTGCATTGTACTTACAAAGCAGTACCTGAAGCACCATACAGAACCATCGGGTCCACGTTAAGTGCAATGTAAGTGCATTCACACATCAGGAATGCAGAAAGGTAATTTGATATCCACTGTGGTCTCATGTTGTCTAAGGTCCAAGGTCTAGACACCTGATCAAGAAGACTGACTCACGCGCAGGTAGAATGTCAGAAGGAAAGGCTGAATACCAAAGGTTACAGAGCTTAAAGGAAGATTTCTATGCCTGTGAACACTAACTCTCCAGCTTGTGCTGAGAACCATTTCTGTGCCCAAACTTCTGCATCTATAATAAATCAGCAGGGAAACTTATGTGATTCAAAGATTTACAGGTCTAGAAAGTGAGCAACAGATGTACCCAGTTCCTGGGACTGACTGAGCATCCTAATAGACTGTACTGATAGCTGGCAGCTTCAGTCTTAGGAGAATTAATTTATTTGAAAGTCCTTACTGCCTGCACCAATATTGAGAGCATCTTTATTAGCAGCCTTGGAACTTATCCTAAGTGTATCCCACTTCTCTAGAGGACACTCAGAATCATCATCCTCATTCTCCAGTGTTCTTCCTCCCTCTTTCTTGTCCTACATGAATCATCACCAAAAGGGTTGTCTGGCTTATGAGGACCACTGACATGTTCCAACACAACCTTTCACTCTGCCCTGAAATTAGCTAAGATTCACTTTTGCAGTAGAGCCGGTTTAAAAAAAAAAAAAAAAAAGGAGGCAGTGGCAAGACACACCAAAATGAAATACAACTATCCCCAAAATATGATCACATCCAAAAAAATCCTTTCAGATAGTAAAAAGGAACACCCCTCCACAGGATGAGAGAGCCTAGTAGATAGGACTCATCTCCAAAGCTAGAAAGCTAGAAGGATATTCTAATTCCTTATTCTGTCAGAAAACTGGTCTGTGCCTTAGCTACTTAGGAGTTACAATAGTCAGCTCAAAACCTGGGGGAATACAATTTCATCATATGATACCTGACGTCCTCTTCATACGAAGTTAATTAGGCTCTGTTCTACAAAGTCAATTTGAAACATTTGTCTCAATAGCATTATCTTAATTATTCCTCATCAAAATGATACCACCTCCTACTGTGAACTAACATACTTGTGTAAACAAGAAAAAAAGAAATGTTGCAATCTTGAAGCAGGTTTCCATTTGAAAACTCTCTAGTGTAAATACTAATACAGGCATCAAATATTCAGGAGGCATTCAAATAAAAACTCACATGTTTCACCACTTCAAGGATCACTCTTCCTACCAAAAACTACTTTTAATAGTACCACGGAAATACAGATAATCTGTTTATCTTTTTATTAGCATAATATTTTACTTCCTGTAACAAAGTATCCACAAGTATGATCAGCCAAGAATTCCTTGCAAAAAGTATTCTCTTCTCTATATACCACAAGCAAACTATGCAGCATTGCCCTATCTGAGAGTGTGTGGAAATGGCTTGCAACAAAACATTTTTATTGGATATCATCTCTGAATTAAATAGATATTTGGTAAACATGCTGTTTACAGACAAAAGTACTTAATACTAGTCTAGCAGGTGAATCCAAAATGTTCAGTAACATTCTTTGACTCATGGATTTAAATAAACAGGAGATTTTCAGACATAAAAGTCAAGGTTTTTAATTTCACGTCTCTGTCTACACAACAGTGTAGAAAAAAAAATCACCTTCCACATTCAGGTGCCAAAAACAAAGGAAAAGGAGAAAACCTGTGCTAGCCTGAATCACCAATTTTACCAATAGCATATCCTATTTATCAGCATACTATACAAGTTCAGCAGTCTGACCGTAGAAGCCTCCACTTGGTCTATATTTCAACTTTCCTAACAGCACAGGATTTGGCAAGTTTGCAAATACTTTGATTCTTGCATCCTTCTTATTACTCTTGACAAACTGTATTGTATTAGACTCACCAGTAAAAACTGAGTGAACTCCGCATATGTTAGGTGTCTTTTTCTATCCTTTCCAAAATGCAGCTGTACGAACTCTGAATTCCAGTTAAAAGGAATGTGCTGATGAATTGTGGTCTGGCCAAAAACTTGCTTAGCATCCTCTGGGAAGAAAAGAAAAATGTTCATTTAATAATAAAATAAAACAACAATAGAGACAAGCATATAAACAAATATGATATTTTGTAACAGGAAAGCAATACTATTCTTATAAATTACTAACATGTTGTAAAGTAAACTTAATTTTTTTTGTTTACCAAAACCATCAAAACCATCACCCTCACAAATAGTTTCCAAATAATCTTTTTATTTGTGAAGCTTTATACACACAGCATTTGGTTAGAAGAAATGCAGATATTTCAAGTTTCAAAGTCAAGCAAGAAAAGATTAAAATTAAAAGACAATTTATAAAAAGATGACTAAAGCTAGCCGATTTTCATCATAATCTTTTCAAGCTGCTAACAATGAAAGTTTTGTGTCACTATAATTCAGGCTTTTGAATTATTCTGAGTTCTCATGATTCAAACAAATCAACTTTATTTCAATTATTTCAAGATCTACTTTTCTGTAGTTAGTTACAGGAGCAGTGACATGCGGGACAGGGGATGGAGGAGACATGGTAGGCAGGAACAAAACCTTATCATCACCTCCAGCACTAAGCAGACTTTAAATATCTTCTACAAGGAGGGGGGCAGTGCAACAAGTATGTTTGATCATACCTAAATGCAAGCTTCAAAGTTTAGTTCAGGTTAGTAGTCACAGTTGGTTTATAAAAGACTCTGCAGACTGGTAATACTCAGCAGTTTTGGTGAAGAAGCAACTATTTGATACACACCAAGCTCTAAGTAATAAGGACCATACATTGTGTATATTTAACTAATGAAAACAACAATAAGATAGCAATGAGATCTGAGGAAGTACTTGTCTCAAATGACAGTGCCCACTTCAATGTGATAGTCTTGTCTCAGTCAAAAATATAGGGCAAAGATATCTTCCAAAGACAAGCTCAAGGCCAGAGGTTCCCAGCTGCTATACACCTTCCTAACTGCTGTACGACTCCTCCAGCAACACGAGCCAAGAGGCAGTTCTTGTCTCCTGCTAGTTCCTGTGGGCACAGAGAGCTGGTTCCCACGAGACACTCCCTACCCACAGGCTGGGCCAAGAGCTGGTCTGTTTCCTTCACACTTTGTGGAAGAAAGACCAGGAGTCCAAACCACGAGCTCCTGTCTGTCTCTGTGAGCAGCAGAGCTGCAAGACAGTTCCCAAGCATGGCTGGTGCCTGGGGTTGAGAAATCAGCACAGCTTTGTCTTGCCTGTGTGCAGAACAAGCTGGGAGCCACCTTGCTGGAGCCAGTCTCTGACTGGGAGCCACCTTCCAGCTCATACTAGTGCCACAAGCAAAGGTGGGAGCTGACTCCTTGGGGCCATGAGGTCGCCTCTCCTGCGCACATTGAGTTCTGGCTTCTCGTTCAGTCCATGCCAGCCAGGCACAGCAGCTCTGCTAACCTGGGAAACCCAACCAGTGTGGAATCCCCCATTTTAAGCAAGAAAGCAGGAAAAAGTGAGAGCAAAGTGGCACAGCTGAGAGCCAGGAAGATCTCAGGAACTGAGTCCACATGAATGAAGAAAAAATGGTCTCAAGGAAATGAAAGGGGCAGGTGTCCTGTTGCACAGCCCCTAATGCCCTGCAGTTGGTGTTACCCACAGGGACAGCTTGTTCTAAAGCAAGAAGGCTTCACAGAGAGAGCAGAGACGAAAAGTGCAGACATCTTCCCATCTCTCAACAGTCAATAGTTTCACCTTTACAAATACAGCACCCACTGATCCTAGCAAATCAGTGGTGAAAGAGCAAGTTGGATTTAACTTACAAACAGAAAGACTGACCCCAGTTAGCCTCAAATTCATAAAACTCATAACTTCAAGTCTTAATGTACTATGAGAATTTTCTCCAAGCAAAGTCAGTGCCCCCAGGACAGCCTCATTGTTCATTTGTATCTTCAAGCCCCATCACAGCCAGCTTGGATCTTGTCTGCCAGCATTCTCCAGGAGCGAAATTCTGCTCTCAAGGCAGTGGGAGGGAAAGTCTATCTGTTCAGGGTGAGGTCCTATCCTTCCACTTGAAGTCTTCCATTTAGGATGTTTCCCCCTGACACAGCTTGAGGCACCTTGCCACATGTCATTGAAGATCAAGCTGTTTTCTGCCGGATTTTCTACAAAAAAGGCAACGGCAACCAGCATGAAGAAAATAGCCTGTCTTGCGAGCAAACAAGAGGAAATAAAGATTGTCTCTGCTTTTCAGAGGAATAAAGATATTCCCAAAACATCTCTGTCACCTGTCTCTACACAGAAATCAGATGCTCATCTTCTTCCTCTTTCCCTCTCATCCCACCTTCAGAATTTCCCCAGAGCAAGACACTGATACTTTGTGGATTAGATTAGGAAACCATCACTATTAACCAAAAGCTATGTTTGGCTGGACTCCAGACTTGCCTTTGTTAAGAGAAAAAAAAGTGCATTCTTACCTGATGCAAGGTAAGAGAGAGTAAAACCTTAGCTGGTATAAAAGTAGTCTCAAACTCCTTTTGATGCAGCCAGGCTCCATACAATCTTTACTTCAACTTGTTAACATATGAAAGTTGCAGAATGTCCTTTGATTATGCCATTGTAATTTTATTTTAGTTTGTTATCATACATTAGCCACCTTAAAGGAACAACGCATCTTGCTCCCCCAGCTCTATGTCTTGTAAACCCTCTTTGGTTGGGGCCTTAAAGAAATATTCCAGTTCAAGAAAATCAAACACAGAATCACAGAATGGTTTGAGTTAGAAGGGACCTTAAAGACCATCCCATTCCAATCCCTCTGCCATGGGCAGGGACACCTTTTACTAGACCAGGTTGCTCAAAGCTCCATCCAACCTGTCCTTGAACACTGCTAGGAATGGTGCATCCACAACTTCTCTGGGTAACCTGTCCCAGGGTCTTACCACCTTCACAGTAAAGAATTTCTTCCTAACATCTAATCTAAACTCACTCTCTTTCAGTTTATAAACATTCCCCCTTGTCCCATCACTATATGCCCTTGTAAAAAGTCCCTCTCCCTCTTTCTTATAGCCTCCCTTCAGGGACTGGAAAGCTGCAGTTAGGTCACCCCGAAGCCTTTTCTTTTCCAGGCTGAACAATCCCAATTCTCGTAGGAGATGTGCTCTAATCATCTTGTCCTTCCTCTGGACTCAGTCCAACAAGTCTATGTCCTTCCTGTGCTGGGGACCACAAAGATGGATGCAGCACTGCAGGTGGGGTCCCACCAGAGCAGAATCACCTCCCTCAACCTCCTGACCACATTGCCGATGATGCACCCCTGGATACAGCTGGCTTTCTGGGCTGCAGACACACATTGCTGGCTCGTGTCCAAACATCAAGTGAAAAGAACGGCAGTTTCAGACTAAATACAATGTTTAATTATTGACATTATAAATGGCAAAGGAACCCACAGCAATGAAACTAAAAACCTTATCCAGCCAATTAGGAGTATAGTAAGGTCTATATCCAGGCCATTTGCATTTCCTTGTCTGTTTCAGAGATTAAAGGCTACAAAGCATGCCTCAGAAGTTCATGAAAGTACAAATACCCTCCAAACAGTCCAAGCCGGAGATGCACACTTAATTTTTGCTATGACTGGGAAAACACAGACTACCACATTAGTGTAGATATAGTCAGAGAACTCCACATGCTACTTGATGTTTTCACAATCATACTGTATATTGATGTCAATATGACTTGGCAACTAATACCAGATGCTTTTCTGACAGAGTGCATGTTTGATTATACAGTGCAGGCAGCTGACTGGAAGATTGCCTACTGTGCTTCTACTGATTCTTTGATGGCATGAGACGTGGTATCCTGTTTGCCACTGCCTTTTTACACATACCCTGTACTTCCTTTTTGCACTTATTTATGGTTCACAAACTCCTGTGCTCAGTGAACAAACTCACATATGCTCAGTGAACAGTGTTTTTCCCTCTTTCCTCGCTAGGTCTCATCACCCATTCATCTACCACAATGTCACTGTCTCAAGTCTCATCTGTAGTCAGATTGCCCAATTCAGACAATAAAGACCATTCATTCATACCCCATGAACAAATCTGAATGTGTTTAGCCTGTGATTTAACCCTCAAAAGGTATCCAAATACATACCACAAGTCACTCAAAGTTATTGTTCAGTTCTAACAGTATCATCTCCTAATCATCTAAGTCCAGTATTAAAACAAAAAATGGACAAATAAAAATGTATTTTTGCCTTAAACCTGCAGCTGAAGTTCCACAGATACCCATAAGTCACTTAAAACAACAAAACAGAGAAGCTGCAGTGTGCTCCAGTAGCCAGGAGTTATTACATCTTTTTTAAAGGAACCTGTCTCAGAGAGCTACAGAATAATTTGTGATGAAAAGAACATCTGATTGCTATGTGGTCCAGCCACCAGCCAATTAGATCAGGTTGCTCAGGGCCATGCCAGTTGAGGTTTGAATATGCCCTCAGTAATCTCTGACCCAGAAGACCAGGGTAAAGGAACGTCAGAAGGAAGATTTTCCCTCGGTCAAGGAGGATTGGGTTAGAGAACACCTAGGTAGACTTGACATCGACATGTTCACGGGCCCTAACAGGATGAATCCATGAGTGCTGAGGGAGCTGGGAGCTGACACCATAGCTAGGCTGCTCATGATCATCTTTGAAAGATTTTGGTGATCAGAAGAGATGCCTGGAAGAAAGCAAATGTCAGCCCAGTCTTCAAAAAGGGCAGGAAGGAGGACCCAGGGAACTACCAGCCAGTCAGCCTCACCTGGAAAGGTGATGGAGCGCCTCACTCTGAGGTTATCTCTATCCACATGGATGATAAGAAGGAGTGGTCAGCATGAATTCACTAAAGGTAAATCATGCTTGACCAACATGATGGTTGGTGAAACAACTACCTGGACAGATGAGGGGAGAGCAGTGGATATTGTCTCCCTTGACTTCAGCAAGGCTTTCGACACTGTCTCACAACATCCTCATAGACCCAGTGGCACAGGGTCTAGTTGGAGGCTTGTCACTGGTGGGGTACCCCAA